CGAGAGCACGCAGCATCCCCGCTAGTCAGCATCCCCGCATCCCCCGAGAGCACGCAGCATCCCCGCTAGTCAGCATCCCCGCATCCCCCGAGAGCACGCAGCATCCCCGCTGGTCAGCATCCCCGCTAGAACGCCGCATCCCCCGAAAGCACGCAGCATCCCCGCTAGTCAGCGGCGTCGCTGACACGGGTACGGGTATCGAACACCCGCACGGCGACGGGTACTGCAGAGTCCGGGTTCAAGTCTCGAACACCACCGCGACTACTAACAACAACAACTCGTACTGCTAAACAACCTGGCTTCGGCCGTAGATAAATGCGATAGATGCTTTAGTGAGATGATTCGATAGATGCGACCAACAGCATCTTCCGTTGCTATGCTTAATGCTAATTGATTGATACTCCTGTCGCTTTAGTTCACACGGGAACACGCGGATAAAGCACGGCCGTAGAAGGCAGGCGCCTCCCGGATTGGCAGAAGCGCGTGTAAGAAACTAGGTAACTGGATTTAACCCGAGCACCGCCTTCACGTAAGCTCCAATCCTCAAAGCGGTGCTTGATTGTCGAAAGCAAGTCTAGATAAAACTCTATAAGGCGCTCTGACGCTATCTGACCTCTCTCGCTATCCGACCAGTCGACTCAGTACTATATCTTTATGCGAATTCAGCGTGGTAGGCGGAACCCGCTTACATCGACTGGTGATACATGGTGTGCGGACATTTCAAACGTTATGCGTAATAAATACAGTGTATGTATGTGAGCAATACACAACACGAAGTGTTCCGTGAAATTTCATGTGGGGTTAGCTGCGCGCTCACGGTGAAAATGCCGGACGCTATGTACGTATCATCGTGTCTATATATGAATAGAGAGGCTACGTGAATATCACCGCAACGTCCTCGCTATCCGAAGAAAAGAAATACAACTCATACACGACGCGAGCGAGAAAGGGGAGGGAGCAAAAGGGGTTTAAAATCCTACTCTTTGATTTTAAATCCGTTTAATTGAAAGCACAGGGGAAAAAGAAAAATCAGAAAATTGAACGTCACTCGACACGACCATTAGAAACCGACCATGGTTTTAGCGACCTCTGGAACAGACGCATTCTAATTCTCCACACGCACGCACACACATACGCACTCTCTCTCTCTCTCTCTCTCTCTCTCTCTCTCTCTCCCTCTTTATATAGGTATATATATATATATCGCTCTCGCTCCCTTCCTCCCCCTCTCCGTGGTATATAATATACGTACTGTGTGAATGTGATTGGTGGGCGCTCGTGCTGGTTGTCGGACAGTGGCTCATCACCCACGAGTCTGTCGTGCTGTACGCTGCGTCACTAGATGTGCAGGCCATAGAAGCCAGACTACCTGAAATGTCACGGAGAACGAACACATGAGAACCACGTGCGGCGAACGTACATAGGTACGCGCACGCACACGCACGCACGCACGCACGCACACACGGTATTCATAATTGTCAATAAAAAAGCAGAGGACTATATATATACATATATAAACGTGCATGTATATATGCGTGTGTGTGCCTGCACGCATGCGTGCGTGGTGCGTGCGTGCACGCGCGTATTTATGTAAATAAATTTAATATATATGTGTATATATATATATCAGTTAGATTGGCTAGCATATTGGCGTGATGGAGGTGGAGGTGGAGTTACCCCGATGGTTAGATTCAATCTCGGCTCGCTCGTGCTCACGCAGGGGAGGGGAAGGGTGTGATGTGTGAGAGAGAGAGAGAGAGGAGGGGTAACGGCCTTCCAGCCAGCATGCCACGGTGCGCGGAGGAGGAGGTCGGGGACGTAACACAACCCCGCTCGCCAAAATGGACTCTCGAGGGTCTCCGGGTCTCGGGAGTGCGCGCGGGAGCATTAAGACACTTGTCGGTCGGACGCGTTATGCAGAAAGATCAACAGCCAGTCATTAGTGGCTTCGGGGCTAATTGATGCCGGGAGGCTGGCGAGGCGGTGCGCATGCGCAACAGTACCCCTTCTCCTGCTCCTCTGCTTGCATCCTCCTCCTCTTCCTTCTCATCCTCCTCATCATCAACATCATCATCATCATCATCAACATCATCCTCCTCCTCCCCTTTCTCCACCTCCTCCACCTCTTCCTCCTGCTTCTTTTCATATTCCATCATATTCGTAGCCAAACAACTTTATAGGGAACCCAACGTGACATCGGCACAAACAACTATCGCCACAAACACTATATATACGTATATTATATATATATATATAGTATATATACTATATATATATATATATCTGTGGTGTAGGTCGGGGGGGAAAGCTGGCTGGCTGAAGCGACAATAACAGTTTTGCGCGTGCGCTAAAATTCCAGGAGCAATCCGGGGTTGGGGCGAACGACGCATGAAGAAGAGGAGGGGGGAGAAGTGGGCAAGAGAACAAATGCCAGAAAAGATTCAAAAAATATTTTTTCTCGGACCGCTTTCGGCTTCCCCCCCCCACCCCCGTCGACCCGGCGAATGTCGCATCTCAGAGCTCAGAGCGGCAACAGTAGACATTGACACACATCGCGATCTCGCATAGTGCGCAAATAGCAATTCAAAGATATTCGCATCGTCTCGTTTCCCCCCTATAACTGGGCATTAGCGGGTCGCTGTTTGTTTGGGGAAGCTGTCAAGGTAAACAGCACATCGGCGCAAAGAAAACAGGCAGGGTAGAATGCCGCAACATGTATAACCTTCGGGAGCATTGGCTGGGATGGTTCGGGGCGGGGGGGCGTCCGCGTGAGAGCTTGGGCGGTCAAGGGGTCTTAGCAACCGCGGGCTTCGGAATAAATGCCAGTGTCGGGCGTCAGCATCTCCCCGGCGGTGAACGCCGCATCCCGAGACACCAGGTCATCCCGCTAGTCATGCATCCCCGGCATCCCCTGAGAGACACGCAGAATCCCCGCTAGTCAGCATCCCGAATCCCCCGAGAGCACTGCAGCATCCCCCCGCTGCGTTCAGCATGCCCCGTAGAACGCCGCATCCCCCGAATGCCTAACGCAGCAGCCCGCTAGTCAAGCGCGCGTCGCTGACACGGGTACGGGTATCGAACACCGCACGGACGACGGTACTGCAGATCGGTTCATAGTCTCGAACACCACCGACGAACCTACTAACACAACAACTCGGCTGCTAAACAACCTGGCCTTCGCCGTAGAATAAATGCGATAGAGGCTTAGTGAGATGCATTCGATAAGATGCGACAAACAGATCTTCCGTGCTATGCTTTAATGCTTAATGATTGATACTCCTGTCGCTTTAGTTTCACACGGAACACGCGGTTAAAGCCACGCCGTAGAAGCGGGCAGGCGCTCCCGGATTGGCAGAGTAGCGCGGTGTAGAGAATACATGGTAAGTGCGATTTAGACCCCAAGCACCGCCTTCAGTAAGCTCCAATCCTCAAAGCTGGTGGCTTATTGTCGAAAGGCAAGTTCTAAGATAAACTCATAAGGCCGCTCTGAGCGCTATCTACCTCTCTCGCTATTGACCAGTCGACTCCAGTACTATACTTTGATGCGAATTCAGCGTGGTCAGGAGGAACCGCTTACATCGACTGCGTGATACATGGTGGTGCGCGAGCATTTCAAACGTTATGCCTTAGAATTAAATCACAGTGTATGTAATGTGAGCAATACAAACAACGAAGTTGAGTCCGTGAAATTTCAGGTCGGGTGAGCTGCGCGCGCACGGTGAAAAATGTACCGGACGCTACGTACGTATCATCGTGTCTATATGCAATAAGAGAGCTACATGATATTGATCAGCGCAATCGTCTCGCTCTCAGAAGAAAAGACAATACAACTCATACATCGACGCGAGCCGAGGGAGGGGAGGATGTTTAAGGATCCTACTCTTGATTTCAAATCCGTTTAATTGAAAGCACAGGGGAAAGGAAGAATAAATGGCGGAGAAAATTTGAACGTCACTCGACAACGCCATTAGCACGACCATGGTTTTTAGCGACCTCTGGAAACAGACGCAGTTCTAATTCTCACACGCACGCACGCCGCACAGCACAACACAGATCACGCACGCACGGCATGCACACACACGACATACACAATACCTGGACGCAAGCCGCACGCAGGCACGCACACACACATACGAGCACGCCACGCACACGACGCACGCACGCACACACGCACACACAAAAACACGCACGCACGCACGCAGGCACTGCATCACACAAAACGCACTGCACGCATGGCGGCAGACCAAGGAACTGCACGCACGCGCACGGCACGCACGCACGCATCCCACAGCACCATACTTCTCTTCTCTCTCCTCTCTCTCTTCTCTCTCTCATCTCTCTCTCTCTCGTTTTCTCTATCTCTCTCTCTCTCTCTCTAAATATATATATAATATATATATATAGATATACTATATATATATATATCGTGTGCACGGAGGGGACACCCCACCTTTGCTCGCTGAACGTGCGTGTCAGGGTCCGTGTGTTTACGCGACAGTTCGCCGTACTGTTGCTGCTAGCTGCGGGGAAGCCTGCTCCCGGGAGCTCCTGCCAATAATTACAGCACACGAGCGATCCTCCGTTCGCTTCTTGCCTCAAAAGGAATTTCCCCGGGAGGATCGGCTGCAATTATGATAGAGAGAGAGAAGGCGGGAGAGGCAGGGAGAGAGAGAAGAGAGCGGAGGGAGCAGAATGGGAGGAGAGAGAGAGAGAGCAGAGCGAGAGAGAAGAGAGAGAGGATGACGATGGAGAGAGAGAGCAGAGAGAGAGAGACGAGAGAGAAGAGAGACGAGAGAGAAGAAGAGAGAGGAAGAGAGATATAGGCAGGAGACGAGAGAGAGATCGGAGAGAGATAGATAGAGCGAATAGCTGAGAGAGCGAGTAGAGAGAGAGAGTAAAGAGAGAGGAGAGAGAGGAGAGAAGAGAGAGAGATGAGAGGGACTTGAGAGAGAGAGAGAGAGTCACGCGGGGAGGGCGGCCACGGCGGCGAAGGGAGAACGGAGAGGGGGCAACGCGGCGGAGGAGTGACGGGGGAGGGCGAATCCGGCGGATTATAAACACATCTACAGCCGAGTCGGTGTGTATTCAGCAAGCTCACTCGCTCACGACGCCCGGGATCCGCATCTTCTGTAGTCAGACCACCATCTGTCATGCCATTCTAACCCACAACCACACCACACGCGATACGTGCAGTAGAGGAGACGCAGCCGACAGGTATACCGAACTCACCTAACTATCACGCGGGGAAACACTATACACATATATATATATATATATATATATATATTTATGTGTGGTTGTGCTGTGTGTGTGTTGTTTGTGTTGTGGTGATGGTGTTGTGTGTGTGTGATGGGGCGGGCGGGGAGTGTGGTCAGGGGACGGTGGGGGGGGGGGGGAGGAGGAATGGAGGGGTTGGGGGACGCGTTTTTTTTTTTTTTTTTTTTTTTTTTCTGGTGTGTCGTGTGTGCGTTGGTGTGGTGTGCAGGTGTGCGTGTGCGGTGCTGCGTGGATGTGCGTGTGGCTGTGTGTGCATGTGAGGCATGCGTGCGTGTCGGTACGTGCGTGCGTGTAGTGTGCGGCATGTTGCTCGGTACGTGTGTGCGGGCGTGTCGCGTGCTATGCGTGCGTGGTGTGTACGTAGCGGTGACGGTGTCGAATGCGCACCCTGTGTGCGCGTGTTGCGTGTGTGCGTGAGCACGCCGTGCGCTACGTGCGTCCCAAGTGTATAATTAGTTAATGCAAACACTACCGCTACTCACGGGGGAAATGCCCAGCGACAAAATTCGAAGTTATCAACAGATTAGATGTAATGAAAATGACAACGACGCTTATGAGTATTTAGGAATTGATTTATCAGATTACGTAATCGTGAGATAGACTCAGAAGAGTGAAGGAAAAGTGCGCACGAAGAAAAATAGAATACATAACCAAGATAATATCTTATATTCTATATCTTATTTTCTATTATCTAATATCGTAAGGTTATAATATTATATAACGAGTGAAAAACGAATCGGAAGGAAGGAAAAAGTGCGCCGCACACATAAATGGATTACAATCGGTCAGCGTGTGTTAATGCTTAATTAACAAATAGATAATTTACAAAGCTAACAACTGAAAGAATGAATATCAGTGCTTGGCCGGTCAAAGTGCAAAGTTGTACTGTCTTCGTTCGCCGTGGTTACGAGGTGAAACTATGGACTGCTGCCTGCCCTGTCATGGTCGGGGCTGAGCTCGAGGGACTACCGACTGCATAACGATGGGTGCAGACCCGTCAAATTCTGCCAGACAAAACAGACACGCGACTTATAATAGAATCTAGCACAAAATTACAAACGTAAAAAATAGTACAACGTTGCCGCGGCATTCACTGCGAGTCGTACGCGGCTACAAAATAATAAATTAACATTTTTTCCGCTCCTCCTGAAAATAGGTTTGTCTGTTTACTTAATTAAAGACCGGTTGCAAAATGATTTTAAACGGGTTTTTCAAGTGCTTTATAGATCGGCGGGAAACAACAACGCGTGAATACCTTTAAGAAACCCCAGTTAGCTTTCTTTCTCAAACTAGCTGCAATTGTCGGTTTTCATCCGCCATTATCTTAGCGAGAACCACTGGTCACCGGCCATAAGCACGGACATAGGCGAGACTGCGGCGAGTTATAATTAATGAACCACAGCGTACGCAGCCCGGCCGACGTCACAAACGCCGGGAAAAGGCGCGCGGAATGCCGTGACGTCCACGCGCGAAACGTCACCGCACTTTCGAACGTGCGTAAACTAACAAAAACGCGGGAAAACAACAATCAACGTATCGTTGTCTGTCGCGAACAAACGGCCGCACCCGCCTTCACGCATCAGTAGCAAGCAGCTAGGTACCTGGTGGCTGGATGCAATCCAGCCTATGCGCCACAGCTAGTATTTG